CCAGTGACGGCGCAGCCCAACCGATGCCCGGCATGGGAGGGAACAGGAGCACGCTAAGCCCACGGGAGCCCCGAGAAGCCCGTCGGCACGTGGAGTTTGCGACGACAAGTGGTGAAAACGCCATGATGGCCCCAATGCCACTCAAGCCGCAACGCCCGCCCTGCTTCGACCCAAGCCAACGCGGCGGCCCGACAGTTCAATCATGGGTCTTCACGATGAATGTGTTTTTCGACGCCAACTACGTCGAGTCGGACGCCGCCAAGATTCGGTATGCGGTTTCACTACTCAGGGGCCCCGCCATGGACTGGTGGCGAGTCATCGTGACGTCGCCACGCGCCTACGAGCCACCGCCGCACGAGGAAGGGCCCTCGGGTCCAGCTGTCACCTGGAGTTCGTTCTGCGAAACAGCCCAATACAGCACGTGGGATGCGTGGTGCGCAGGGCTTCGGGCGCGTTTTGAGCCGATCGCGGCTTCGATTTCGGCGCGTCAGAAACTGCGCACTTGGCGCCAGCTCGGGTCGGTTCAAGACTACACCAGCGGTTTTCTCGCACTTTGCGAACAGGTCGGCTACATGCACGAGGCGGAGCGGGTGGACCGTTACGTCGGAGGGCTGAAGCCGGACATATCGCACGAGATAATGCTACGCGGGCTATCGAATTTCAACGAAATCCTCGCGCTCGCCGAGAAAATCGATATCCTACGCCGACCGAGACCGGGGTCCTATTTCGGACATCGCCCTCGGGGACCGATCGAGCACGCCACTGTACATGCCGTCGCAACGAATGCAGCTGCCACGCCATTTAGAGGGCGCTGCTTTGCTTGCAACCGGCCGGGCCATCGCAAGAGCGAATGTCCAGAGGAGCTGAGGCGTCGAGGAGCAGAGCAGGGGAAGGAGTCTCAGAGGCAGGGAAACGCCAGCAGTCAGTAGAAGTTGGGCCAACTACTGACGAGACTGCCTGCTCGCCCAACCACACCGACCCTCACCGAGTCACAGTACCGATTCACGCCATCGATCGGGCTCGGATGAATAAGGAGGGTACAGCGACGGATTGCCCGGTACTGATCTACGGGAAACTACAGGGAGCAGCAGTGAAAATCTTCATTGACGGAGGAGCAAGTCACAGCTTAGTTAATACTGCAACCGCACGGAAATTACAGTTAACACTTAACCGATGTTTACCTGAGATAGATGCACGCTTAGTCGACGGCACGCCATTGGCCATACGAGAAAAAGTGGAGCGAGTAAAAGTCCGCTGCGGGGGAAACTTCGGGTTTACACAGGAAATGCTCGCAACGACGCTGGATGGGCACGACATTTTACTGGGACGTGATTGGCTGCGACGGTACAACCCACGGATCGACTGGACGACGGGGAGCTGCACAGTGCGAAGTAGCGGTAACTGGGTCGTCCTACCTCGCTGGCGGCCACCCGAATCTTCGACAGTCCAGGTCAACGCCATCGCGATGAAACGAGCTGTCGCTGCTGGAGCTGACGTGTACGCAGTGGATATCGCAGTGGTAGAAAAAGACGAGCAGCAGAACGATTTTCAGAAACTGCTAGCAGCCGTACCGACCGAATTACAAGCACTACTGAAACGGTTCCCGGGGATATTTCCGGATGATTTACCACAGGGACTGCCACCTCAGCGAGTGCACGACCATAGGATCGAGCTAGAACCGGGGGCACAGCCAACAGTACAGCGGCAATTTCGACTGACACAGCCCGAGCTCGACGAGTTAAGGAAGCAGTTAGATTACCTGTTAGAGAAGCAGTTTATTCGACCGAGCTCGTCACCGTTCGCCGCACCCATACTGTTCACACCGAAAAAAGACGGAGGTTTTCGCATGTGCATCGACTACCGAGCGCTTAACCGAGTAACAATCAAATCGCGATACCCCATCCCCCGCGCCGACGAACTCATTGACCAACTGCGAACAGCACGTGTCTTTTCGAAAATAGATTTACGGGGAGGTTACCATCAGATTCGGGTCGAACCATCGGACTGCGCAAAAACAGCATTTAGGACTAGGTACGGGTCATTCGAGTATACAGTAATGCCTTTCGGATTGACGAACGCGCCTGCGACTTTTCAGATGACCATGAACGAGGCGTTTAGACCACTTTTAGATAGATGCGTGATCGTTTACCTCGACGATATCCTCGTTTACAGTCGGGATAAGCAGCAACACTTAGCAGATCTCGAAGCAGTTTTTAAGGTTTTAGAGGAACATCGGCTGCTCACCAAGGGCTCCAAGTGCGAGTTTTTTAGGGATAGGCTAGAGTTTTTAGGTCACGTCATTTCCGAGGCTGGGGTTGAGATCGACCCAAAGAAGCTGGATACGGTAAAAGCGTGGCGCCCCCCGACAAACATCACGGAACTGCAGAGTTTTTTAGGGTTTGTTAATTACGTTCGACGGTTCGTGCCCGACATGGCACGTTTAACAGCCCCACTAACTGATTTACTGCGTAAGGGGGTCGCTTTTACGTGGGGGGAGAAAGAGCATGCTGCCTTCTCTGCCCTAAAAAACGTCCTCTGTTCACCACCCGTTCTACGTATCGCTGATCCCCACCGCCCTTTCGAAGTGGTTACCGACGCAAGTGACATCGCCATCGGAGCTGTACTGTTACAGGACTTCGGCAACGGCCTCCAACCCATCGCCTACGAATCACGCAAACTACATCCGCCTGAGCGAAATTACCCGATACACGACCGCGAAATGCTCGCGATCGTGCATGCATTCAAAGTTTGGCGCTGCTACTTGACTGGCGCAGACGTGACAGTACGGACAGACCACCGATCTCTACAGTACCTCCGCGCACAGCCCCACCTCAACCCACGACAGATTCGATGGCTCGATTTCCTCGAGTCGAATTTTCACTATACGGTCACATACAAAAAAGGAGCATCGAATATCGCCGACGCACTGACCCGCCCCACTGCCCAGATCCACGCGATACTACTCGCCCAGACCAGCCCACTGCTTACCGGCCTATTTACCCACGGATATCAAACAGACTCGTTCTTTACAGGAGGCAACTCACAGCAATTCGCAGCGGCAAAAGGAGTCTATTACGTAAAAACTGGAACCGACCGCATCTGGGTACCGGGATACACGCTACTGCGGGAACTACTGTTACAGGAAGCACACGATGGAGTTACCTCGGGACATTTCGGGGTAGAAAAAACACGGCAGCAGCTGCAGCGGTACTACTACTGGCCAGAAATGTTGACCGATGTGCAACGACATGTGGCATCGTGTCCCACTTGCCAGCTCATGAAGTCAAGCAGGAAGCGACCAGCGGGGCAATTACAACCCATCCCGCCTCCAGAGCGTGCTTGGCAGCAGGTGACGATGGACTTCGTCACGGGGTTACCAGCTGGGGCGAGTGGGAATGACGCGATCCTGGTCGTCGTCGATCGACTAACGAAAATGGCTCATTTCGCAGCATGCAGGAAATCCATCACAGCCGAAGAAACCGCCCGACTATTCATCTCCACCGTCGTACGACTGCACGGGATACCCGCGTCGATCATCAGCGACAGGGACACGAAATTTACCAGCAACTTCTGGCGGAACCTGTGGCAGCAGTTCGGCACACGCTTACAGTTCAGTTCATCCTATCACCCCGAAACCGACGGACAGACGGAACGAACAAATCAGACCATGGAGCAGCTGATTCGAGCCACGTGCGACGACCCGAATACGTGGGAACAGCAGCTGCCACTTATCGAGTTCGCATACAATAACGCACCATCAGCCACGACGCAACAGTCGCCGTTTTATCTAAATTACGGACAGGACCCAACAGTACCCATGACACCGAATCCCGACAACCCCGTCCCACGAGCACAACAGTTCGCCGAGATTCTGCAGGCAGCACGGACCAGGGCAGCAGAAGCAATAAAAAAATCAAACATCATCGCTAAACGCAACGCCGATCGACATCGCCGACCCGTTACTTATCAGCCCGACGACCTCGTTTTACTCGACACTCAGAACCTTCGCCTGCCCATCACTCCAAAACTTCGCCCCCGATATTGTGGGCCATTTCGCATCAGCCACATGATCACACCAGTTACCGCCCACCTCCTCCTCCCCGCTGACTGGTACGTCAGCCCGTCATTCCACGTCAGCCTACTTCGCCCTTACATCCCATCCACGAGCCAACTGCCACGACATCGCCCAGCCAGCATGACACGTCCCCCAACCGAACCACTCATCACCCCTGACAAAATCCTCAGCCACCGCGTCCGCGACCCTCGGGGAGCCCGAAGGATCGAGTTCCTAATTCGCTGGAAGGACCGAACGGCCACAGAAGACAACTGGGTCCCCATGGATAAAATTGAGAACCACCCTGTCTTCACCGAGTATCTGCGAAGCCGAAATTTCCGCGACGTCCATGCGCTCTCGTAAGGGGGGCCTCCTTGGGGAGGGGGGTAGTGTAAGGAAATTCCCTTTTCCTTACTTCGCGTCCCTGCCCAGCGCGTACGTCACTGTAGCACCTCAGTCAGCACCGTTACCACTCGCGACCATCGCATCATTCATCATCCCGCCTTTTTCGCACATCGCATCCCGACCTCACGGCTCGGCTGGTAACCCGCGCTCCGGGCCTACGCTTCGACACTTTCCCAACCTCAGTCTCAGGCTCGACGCGCGACAACCACAGTCCATTACCGTTACCACTATTGTTTCGCTATATAAACCTTCGCTCATGCCTTCGCTCATTGTACTTTTGCTTCGATAGTGCAATTCTCGTTCGTTCACTCAATTGCACACGTAACAGATAACGAGGAAACGTTATAGCATGATATAGAATGACACCGTTTTAAGATTAAGAATTCGCATGCACGGTAATAAATCAAGTTCTTCCATTTCCACTACATTGATCCGTGCAGTTTGTTATATGTTGACTTCAAATATATTACTGGGGAAAAAACATGATTGATTCATAAACGTCAACATCTGTGAACCATGGCTTATCGCACAAAAGAGGCGTTCAACCATTTGCTTCATCTGTATCCTCCAGAACATCAACCAGCGCTTGTGCTTTCGCCTTCGCTCTCCCGGAGCAAACATCACTTTGTAACAACTCCTCCAAAGCCGGCAAAACCCCTTCCTCCACCATCCTCCTTCCCAACTCCTCCCCATCCTCCTCCCCACTCCCATCTCCACCATCCCCCTCACCACCTCCCCTCAAATGCCCCCCAGTAGCCAGCAGCAGCAGGGTCATAATAGCGTCCTCTTGAGCTCTTGGCGAGCCGCTAGCAACAACAGCAACCAACACTGCAATTGCATCACCCGCACCACCACCAGTAGCACCATTCCTACCACTGCCACCATTGCCACTCCCATCACTACTACCACCGCTGGGCCAGCCTTTTCCGTCTGCTGTTACAAGCCTAGCGCGGCCCTCTTTCAACCGGCAGATATTAGCCAGCACCGCCATTGCTTTCTCTTCCAGCCCCGACTCTTTATAAGCAAGCACCTCTAAAAGCACTTCCACCGCACCCGCTTGAACTAACTCCAGCGCCCCTTTCGCGTCTCTTGATACATTAAATAAAACGAGCGCAGAGTCTTTTCTCCCTCTAGTAGACCCCGTTTTAAGCACATCCAGCAGCAGCGGCACTGCCCCGCTTCCCCTAACCTCCATAAGAAGCGACTCGCTAACCGACAGAGTGAACAGCGCTGCTGCGGCGCCTTCTTTTGAAGCTACAGTGCCACTTTGGAGTAAACCAACTAGCTGCTTCACGCCATTGCACGCTGCTATCTCCCCTGCTACCCCTTTCACCAGAGACACCAGCAGCAGGCACGAAACTGCATGCTCCTGCGTTTTCACATCAGAGGCAGAGAGCAGATCCACAATGAGCCGCACTCCACCGCACTCCACCGTGATGTCCTTCGCCAGAGGCTGCTTCCTAAGAAGCGACCGGAGAGACGACACAGCTTCCCTTAGCTGGCGGTCAGATGACGACGAGGGCTTGTTGGACTGAGAAGAAGAGGAGGAGGAGGAGGCGGAGGCGGAGGAGGCGGAGGAGGAGCGGATAGTTGCAAGCAACTCCCGAACCTCATCTGATGTGTCAGCGGCGACAGAAGCACCAGCAGAACCTCTGGAGGCTGCTGCTGCTGCCGCCCCAGTCACATCCGGCTGCTGCTGCTGCTGGTGCTGGGAGCGCTGGGGAGAATCCGGGTGCTCCTTTTTCCTCGACCAGTCTGGCAACACTCCCCCTAGAGGGCTTAGAGGCCAACGCTCCCTCCCCACTCTGCCCCCTCCACTTGCCTCTCCCGCCCCTCCTCCTCCCCCTCCTCCCCCAGATCCTTCCCCTGCCCCTCCCCCTGCCCCTGCCCCTGCCCCAGCACCTGCGCCTCCTCCTCCTCCTCCCCCTCCCCTCATCGCATCCAGCAGACCCAGCACGTTCCCTGCGCTTCCAGTCTTCCGCCCAAGCCCTCCCCTCCCCCCGTCCGCCCCTGCGCCCACCCCTTTTGACCCCGGCCCCACCCCACTCCCCCCCGACCCACTTCCCCTCACCCGCCCTCTCCTCCCCCCTTCCCCAAAACCCCCCCCTCCCCCCCAACCACCACCACCGCGGGGGCTCCGCGCATCAAGAAAAACGATCCCCCTCGGGCTCCTCACTTCCAGCGATCCGCTGCTTCCGCTCCCCCCTCCGCTCCCCCCTCCCCCTCCGCCCCCCCCTGCGCCTCCGCCCCCTCCAGGGACCCTAGGGCTGGGGAAATCCATGGGGCCTCCGCTGCTGAACCCGCTGCTGCTGTCACTGCTGCTGCCGGGGCTGAGAGGCCCCAGGAAGAGGCGGGAGGTGCGCTCCTGCGCGGAAGTTTCCGGGGGACTCGTGATGGCTGTAGCGCCGGCTGTAGCGGCTGTAGCATTCAAGGCTGCAGCAGCAGACGAGGAGCCACGTGGAGGGTACGTGCTCGCGAGGCCTATCAACTCCACTGCCGAACCTCCCGTGCTGCTGGATTTCTTAACCCCTGCTGCTCCTGCTGCTCCTGATGCTGCTGCTGCTGCTGCTGCTGGTGCCTTTTGGGGGGAATTGCTGGCGCCAACACCGCCAACAGCAGCAGCAGCAGCAGCAGCAGCAGAAACAGTCCCGGCAGCAGCAGTACCAGCAGAAGCAACAGCAGCAGATGCGCCACGCAGCCGCCCCTGCACCTGCTGCTGCACCTGCTGCCCTCCCTGCACCACTTTACCCATCCCCGCTTTAAGCTGCCTCACCACCTCGTGAAACGACTGCCCTAACGGATCATCCAATGAGGAGGACGGAGGAGCCACAGTGGAGACTCTGCGTAACCCGTCTCCTACTGTAGCGCCCGCCTTTTTGAGACCTCCGCCAATCGCCTTGCCAAATCCAGCAGCCATGTTCATGGGGTTACCCATCCCTCCTCCCCCACCTCTCGCTCCCCCTGCTGTCCCGCCTCCCCCTCCCGTTCCCCCTCCGGCTCCGCCTCCGCCTCCCCCTCCCCCTCCGCCTCCCCCTCCGCCGCCTACCCTACTACCTCCGGTTTTTGATAGCCCTGAGCCCTGCCCCTGCCCCTGCCCCTGCCCCTGCCCCTGCCCCTGCCCCTGCCCCTGCCCCTGCCCCTGCCCCTGCCCCTGCCCCTGCCCTTGCCCCTGCCCTGGCTGTCTGCTGCTGCCGCCGCTGCTGCTGCCACTATGCCCTGCGCTCCTACCCCTGCTGCTTGTATCGAAATCAAACTCGTCGTCCTCGCTATAAGCCCCCCGCTTCACAAACTCAAACGATTTCGGCTTTAACTGCTGGCTGCCGCCACTGCCTCTAGCGCCTGTACCTGTATCGAATTCATCATCCTCGTTACGAGCTCCCCTCGATTCAAACTCAAAAGACTTGTGCTTTCTCTGAGACACCTGCTGAGTCTGAACCCTAGAACTGCCAGGGTTGCTCCCTCCTACCATCCCTCCCAACCGCACTCCACCGCCGCTCATAACCCTCCCAGAACTCCCCACCCCATCTGACCTCGCGCTCTTCCCTTCCCCGTGGAAACTTTCTAGGGCAGCCAAAAAATCATTCTGCCCGGCGCCTCCATCCCCCATGCCCCCTCTTCCGGGCCTCAGGTTTTGCGGCTGTAATGACCCCCCCCGAAGTAGCCCCCCAACCCCCCGAGCCCCGCCCACACCGCCGCCCAAACCTCCGCCCGCCCCACCTCCCCTACTTTCCCCGCGCGCCAGCTGCGCCGTCCGCGCGGGGTTCTGGGCCGTGCTTCTATTGAGCGGGCTTTTAGCGAAATCCCTCGCCAGAGCAGCGCCTCCGCCTCCGCCTACGCGACCGCTGCCCCCCGCTTCCCCCCCCGCAGACACCCCATCCACCCGCGCGCTCCCCCCTGCCTCACGCCCGCTCGCCCTCCCGCTGCCCGATTTTTCCAGCAGGACGCTATTAAGTACGTCGTGGAACGCTGTGATTGGCTGGCGCGCGGATGACGTGTCTCCGGGCTGCAGGGAGATGGTTCGGCGGAGCCCTTCCCCCAATCCTCCGCCAGCAGTTGCGCCACCTGGAATTCCGCCGAGACCTCCCCCAGGGCCTCCCCCCGCCGCCCCCGCTCTTGGGTTCCCCGCGCGGCCTCCGCGCATGGGGGAGAGCGCGTGCGCCATGCCCTTTAGGGCGGACCGGGCAAGGCCTCCGCCGCCGCCACCACCACCGCTCTGTCCCTGCTGCTGTTGCCGAAGGTTCGCGAAAGCTAGGTCGTCGGATGCACTCCAAGATTCAGATCCTACGGTTCTCCTGCCTCCTCCTGCAAAATCCCTCACTCCTGACTGGTCGAAACTGAAGGTCACATGCCCCTGCGGCGGCTGCTGCTGTGGCGCGAGTCTTCGTCTATCCTCGATATCGTCCTCCCCGTCATCCGATAAGAACATGTCCAGTATCGCGGTTTTCGATTCCACAGAATGCGTTCGCCGCAAACCCGCTCTGCCATCGCGGTTGCGCGCAAGCCCCCCTCCGCCAATGCCTCCCCCTAACCCGCCCAGGCGCACGTTCCCCTGCCCCGCTGTTCCGCCTAACTCGGTTCCCCCCTGCCCCTTCCGCCAGCTGGGCGCGCCTTCCATCCGTACAACTGCGCCTACGCCTTCCCCCGCGCTGGACACGCGCATCACTCCCCCCACCCCTTCCGCTCCGCCACCCCGCCCAAACCCGGTAAAAGCTCCAGGCGGGGGAGTGCGGGAGCGGAGATCAAACGGCGGGTTGTTTCTGGGCGACTGGGGAATCCGCGCTCCGCCTCTGGCGGTGGGAGTTGCGCTTGCGCTTCCGGCTCCCCGCCCTCGAGGAGAGCGCAACACAGGCCTCTCGCCGTTCCGCGCGCCCCTGGCGCTACTATTGCGCCCTTCATCCTCGCTCATTCCGCCTTCCGACCAAAACCCGCTCCCCCTTCCGCGCGCGCTGCCGCTTCCTCCATCGCCTCCCCCGGAACTTGCCGGAATTCCGGCAGACGACGGTCCGAAATCGGCTCCAGGGACCAAAGTAGTGACTAAACCGGGTGTGACCCCGTTTCTGTCACACCAAGAGGAAATCAGATCCCTTAAAGCCTGATTCGATAAAAGGTGCGTGTGCTCTAGTCGATCGCCAGTTTTCGGGCAGGTCGTGTGACCTTCGTCGAACCATCGTTGGATAGCTGCACGTTCGTACGTCTGACCAGATGCAACGATTGCTGGATCGGACATGAGTTGTAACGACAGCGGGCAAACGAACTCCGGCGGAACTTCCAGATGCGTTTCAACTGCCTCAGCTGCAGCAGCGGCTGCAGCGGCAGCCGCTGCCGCAGCACGTTTCAACACGAACGAGTCTGACGGAAGGAGGATCTTCATGCTCGGCCGGTTAGGTGGACGGCCGGCACGCCCGTCACTCCCTTTCACCACCGGCATCCCTAACGGCGACGTTAAAAACTTAATTTAAGTGCTAATAGCTGATAATTCTGGGAGCATGGATTAGTGGAGTTGGTGGTGGTCCGATTCTTGACAGACTCGACATGTGGTGCGCATCTAGCAGGAAACCCTAATTTTACTTTCTGCCGCATGCATGCGCAGAAAATTGCTGCTTGCTCGCTCGCCAAAACATGCTTGTTGCAGATCCTGTCAGGCGCGCAAATACATACAAGGACGACCGCGGACTGTTGCGGTGGTGTTTGCTTGCATGGCGGAAGAGGGGGAACCATGAGCGACCACGACTGAGGCTGCGCTCCATGTCGTCGCGAACAAGGCACTTTCGAAGTTACAGCTGCTTTACACAGCAATGTGAGTGCGACAATGTGCGACCGTTATGTCGGTCGTCGTCAACCTCTTGCGCGCCGTTTCAGTTCGCACACCTTTTCAACGCTCAATCCTATTGGTCCCAAAGAACACTGGCTTACCGACGAAGCATGTTCCGACCTTGCTGAGAACAGTTCTGGGGACATCGAGTGTGTGCGAGTGCGACGTTTTCAACTTGCCTGAAAACGGTTTCTTCAGTGGACATCAAGTGTGTGCGACGTCTATCGTTGTTCAACAGTACAGTTGTTGCATTTATATAGGCTCGTTTGACGTGGTTGTATACGGTAAACTACGTTTAGGCGCGGCTCTCGTCTTTCACCGCATTAGACCACTGCACACCAGGATGAACCATTCAAAACGAACCTGGAACAAAAAAGTCAGACCCGCCCCACCAAGTTGGGAATGGGCCCGATCTGTGGCACTAGAGGGCAACTGTGATTGGCAGCGACTGAGGCGGACAGCAGCGACAAAAGAAGAGGCGTGCGGGGAGAATGAATGGCGGGGAAGAGTGAAGCGAATAGCGCAGAACAGTGCAAATGGCGTAGATGTCGCGCGAATGGAGTGCGAAGAAGGCGGGAGAACTGGTGAGGGGTAAAGAGAAGCGCAGCGCAAGTTTCAAGGTCGGGTCAGGACAATCTTCTTTGGGTCTTTGGCTTGGTGGGACTCTTGGGAGCTCTGGTTCGGTTCTCCCAACATCCAGGTTTGGGTTGGTAACAACCAGGAGTTTCGGACCGAGGCTGGAGGAGGAAGAACCACCTCAAAACCGCTGGGCGTGAGCCTGTCAAGGTTCGAATCGGTTCGAAGGCATGAAGATATTCGATAGATGTTCACCTGGCTTTCGATGTGGAACAAAAGAAATACACTACGAGGAAGGGTCGATTTCTCGAGAGAGAATCCCTGTGACCCTTAGTTTCTGGATTGTTTTGGAGCTACTATTAGTTTTCATGGTATAAGGGATTCACATCACATTATGTGCTTTGTACAGGACATTGGTTATGAGCCATGCACACTATCCCCTTCCCTTTCCAGAGTTTCTTTCTAGTAAGATAAAAGATTCTTCAGTCTTGCTACACTTTCCTATGAACATTACACGAGCCACTTGGAAGGAAATCAATGTTGCATAGGGAACCAGTCCCTGATGCTCCCATCATCTCATGTTCAACTGCCCTACAGGACAACGCAGCACCACATTTCACCCCCATGTTTCCGCCACCTGATATTGATGGCCCTGTGCATTCAGCTCCTCTGAAGTGCTCAATAGCTGCCTTCGCAGCAAATCCCGTAACCATTCTTACCCGATAGTGCTATTTACAAAAGCAGCTACGAGCAAGGCATTAACCTGTACAACACAAGCACATATTTACACTGGCATGTCAATTGTCTTTCTCCCACCCACGAATCCAATCTCTACAGCTCACCCACAATGCCCTCAACCCTGCTGCTGACTCCCCTGCTGCCCACTCCCCTGCTGCTCATCCCCTGATGCTCATCCCCTGATGCTCATCCCCTGCTGCCCACCCCCCTGCTGCTCATCGTCGTGGTTATAACCAGTTGTCCCATCCTCATGCTGTTGCTGTGTCATTGCAATTCCCCTCCTCATCATGCGTGCTCCCCTCACCATACGTGCTCCCCTCACCATGTCTGCTGCCCTCACCATGCGTGCTCCCCTCACCATGTGTGCTCCCCTCACCATGCGTGCTCCCCTCACCATGTGTGCTCCCCTCACCTTGCGTGCTCCCCTCACCATGCGTGCTACCCTCACCATGCGTGCTCCCCTCACCATGCGTGCTGCCCTCGTTGGTCTCGTGTAAGCACCCTCCCTCTTCCTTATTTGCCCCTGTCTTCCCCTCTCATCACCCCCATCACCATACCCTTACCCTCTTCACCATGCTTACCCCTCCCCTCCTCCCCCCTCATTGCCTGCCTCTACTCTCTGCGTCACTTCTCTACTCGAGCCAAAACTGGGTTCTTGACACGGAACTGCCTCTTCTCTACTCCCCTGCATGCTCCTACCCCCTTCCACCTGAACCAGAACCGGGCTTCAGAAGTAGTAAAATCCCTGCCTCCACACTCCTCCCGTGCTCTTCCCAGCAAGATCGTTTCTAATTGGACTCAAACCAGCCTTCACGCTCCTCCTGAGTTGCCCCTGAGCCAGATCCGCCTCCAGGGGTCTGGGAACTAGTTTTGAGGCGCCTCAAGAAGACCGGCCTTCGCGCCCCTCCCAAGTTCCTCCCCCCTGAGCCAGATCCGCCTCCAGGGGTCTGGACACAGTTCTCGATGGCAGATACCCTCATGATTTGGTTGCACCTCAGAAACTGCTTCCAGGCTTACATTCCACTCACCAGGACTCTTGCAATGAGGAGTCTTGATGAGTCAAGAATATGCCACTCCTCTCAAGAATCGCCCCTAGGGATGCATTCCCATTCGCCACTCCCCACCTCTCCTGTTAGCCTCCCAGTTCCTTCGATCGTTTCTGAATCACTCTCTCTCCTTTCCTCCCTGTCCCCCCCCTCATCTCTTTCCTCTGTCTCTTCCTTTTTCTCCTCCGCTTTCATCAGTGCCCTCTTCCCCGTCTCCTTCTTCTCCTCCCTCTCCTCCTTCTCCTTCCTCTCCTCCCCCTCCTCTCTCATCCCCCTCCCCTCCCTCTCCTTTAACTCCCCCTTCTCCCCCCTCTCCTTCTTCTCCCCCTCCCCCCTCTCCCCCATCTCCTCCCTCTCCCCCCTCTCACCCTGCTTCTCCCCAATGCTACCCTCCCGTTCGTTTGCCGTGACTGGTTGAAAGGCAACAGAAGAAAGGTCATCAGGTGGGGGTGCTATTTGAGGCGCCTCAAGAATCACTTCAGGCCAACCTCCTCCCTCGTTGGACTTAACCGGTTCGCCAGCCTTTGGAAAGAGGTCATGAGGGGATGGTGGATTCTGGGAAGGCTGAGAGGAAAGTGGAGGCAGGGGGGAATGACCATGCGCAGGCGGAGGGGGGGGCGGACGGAAAGAAGAGGACGCTTGAGCATCCGCAAAGGGGGGAGGATTGGCGGGAGGAGGAGAAGGAGGAAGAGGAGGAGGAGGAGGAGGAGGAGGAGGAGGAGGAGGAGGAGGAGGAGGAGGAGGAGGAGGAGGAGGAGGAGGAGGAGGAGGAGGAGGAGGAGGAGGAGGAGGAGGAGCATAGTGGTGGAAAGATGGAGGGGAGAAGTAATGATGTTGATAAGGGTGGTGGTGGGGAAAGGGGTCGTAAGAAGGGTGAGGGTGGTGAGGGGGGGGGACGAGAGGGTGAGGAGAGGGGGGGTCGTGAGGAGGAGGATGGTGTGGGGGAGGTTGGTGAGGAGGGGGTTGATGCGTTGGAGGGTGGTGAGGGTCTGGGTGGTGGGGGGGAGGAGGGTAATGCGGAGGGGAAGGGTGATGCGGGGGAGGGTGGTGAGGAGGAGGAGGGTGGTGAGGAGGGGGAGGGTGATGGGGAGGGGGAGGGTGATGGGGAGGGGGAGGGTGATGGGGAGGGGGAGGGTGATGAGGAGGTGGAGGGTGATGAGGAGGGGGAGGGTGATGAGGAGGGGGAGGGTGACGGGGAGGGGGAGGGTGATGAGGAGGGGGAGGGTGATAGGGAGGGGGAGGAGCAGGAGGAGCAGGAGATCCGTCACCCTCTTGCTTCAGAAACTCAGGCTCCAGAGCGTGAGGCGAGTGCAGAGAGGCCAGCGGCGGAGGAGGAAGCGGGGGAGAAGGCGAAGACGCAGCAGCAGGCACAGGCAGGTGCGGAGCTGAAGCTGCTTCACCAGCAGACGCCTTCTGACTCGAGTCAAAACGCCCGTGCTGCTGACCTGAAGCTGCTGCTGCTGGTGGACCAGCTGCACCTGCAGGGACTACTAAAGCCACTCCCCCAGCTGTTTCCATTGCAGGCACACCCTCTCCTGCTAGACCCACTCCTGCAGCAGCCCCGCCAATCTCTCCAGGCCCTCCAATCTCTCCACTCCCCCCAGATTCTCCAATCCCCCCAGTCCCTCCAATCCCCTCAGTCCGAGGCAGGAAGAGCAACAGGGATTCTGACAAGTCAAGAAGCGCCGACTCCAGATTGCCTGCAGTTTCTGCTGCCTCGCCAGCCACCACATCCTCCCAGCTGCCCTCCTCTTCGCCAGAGCTGGTAACCTGCCTCGCAGCATGGCTTGGAACTTTGCCGGTCTCTCGGCTAGTAACATGGCTGGAACTGAAACTCGTTTGGTTTACACTCCCTCCTGCACTAGCCGCGCTCCCACCCCCAACAGTCTTCTGCCCACTCCCATCCTTGCCGCGCTTCTGCTGAGCTCGATGCTGCTGCTGCTGCAGCGGCACTAGCGGCTGCTGATACGGCTGCAGCTGAGTCGTCTGCCACATGCTCCGTTCAACAGCAAAGCGGTACACCCGAGACAGATTCGCCACAACACGAGACACACGGGCTCCTGAGGACGACCCCTCTGATCCCACCCCCCAAAGCTCCAGCCTTCCCCCGCTGTCGTCCATCACCACCAAAGGCACTCCTGACTCGATACTGGCTGACTCGTTAGTAGCCAATCCGAAATTCAGTGGCTCGAGATTTGAAGGTTGAACATTTGCAGCGGACTGGATATTCACGGTAGGCTGAGCAGGTGCGCTGGGACTAACGGTTGGATTTGGGAGAGCAGGTGGCGGTTGGTTGGCGCTTGAAGCGGGGGTTGACAAGCCTGCAGAAGCAGAAGCCGACAGGGCTGAAGGGACCGATTGAGAATTTGGACGAATGCTGTGTTGTTCTCGTCCCTTCCGCTTAGGATGTTTCTCCTGCAGGTGTTGGGAGTGAAGGACTGGGTCAAGCTTTGCTCCTGGTGATTGTTGTTGCTGCTGCTGCAGCACAGGTGGCGGCGTTAAGTGCTCAGCTGGCGTGTCTGATCCGTCCTTCTCGTCTGATGCACCTGGAAAGCAGTTAGGAGACAAGGCATCGAAGCTGGCTTCAGTGCTACTATCATCATAAGATTCTATCAGACTCAGGAAAGAAAGATAGGCTTATGGAATGAATTACATACGAAACCTGGACATGCATGCGCTGAATTTCCTAAAAAAAAGCAGAAACATTACCGATTGCATCTTGAGCAGCAGAAGCTGGTTCCAGCGGAATTCCAGAAGCTTCTGAGTCGGATTTGGCCGGATCTGACTGTATTTGACTCGAGCTGACACTGGCATGCTGTGGTGCCACGTCAGATTCTAGAGAAGCTGGCTCTGTTCACACACCAACGACGCACAAGAAGGGAAACCACACAAAGGTAAATATAACGATCAATTGTACTGAAACAGATCGATGCATGAAATCGTAAAGAGGGGATCTGGAGGAACGAAGGGAGAGCAAACAGAACAAGCCAACGAGTGTCAAAGTCGTACTGAGGGATATTCAACCCAGGAACGCAGAAAAACAGGCCTGGTTTATACATGGAAAAACAAGAAAACCGTTTTTGCAAAACGGACAAGAATATGAAAAGGGAGCTTGCCTTCGGAGCTGGATCTGAGACCAAACGACGGCATCCTCGAATTCAACAAATCGACGGACTTTGTAGCACGGATCTGGAGCTTTCAGAGCCCCATTATTCGGAGGAACAACAGCTCTAGGCTGTCAAGTGGAGATGAATTCGAAATATTTCGCTATAACCCAGCAGACGGGTTTCCGCGGTAGCCTAGATACCAGTGTGCCGCACTAGCCAGCGGATAACACAAAAGCCTTTCCAGAGAGGATGTCACAATAACCTAGCTAACGGAGTTTCATTAGCCTAGCACGGGACTCCACTATGGTATGGCTGACAGGACGTTGTACTACATCTAGGCTGGGATTTCATTTTTCTCTAGCAGGCAGTCTAGATCTCTGGGCAGTGAGGGGAGGGAGCTGACGACTAGCGAATTTCGTCAGCTGGCGTGGCGACAGCTGACAATTGCAGCGAAGAGCCAGCTTTTGTGTCGAACGAGCACAGATTCTGTCGCTTCGGTTACCAAGCTGTCATTTGTTGGCGGAGCTGATGGAAGCCGTGGGGAGGACCACTTGACGTGTCAGTGACGCCATTTCGACCCGCGAAATCGCAAGTGCCCCTTCAGAGAATTCGCGAGTGATCCCTGCCACCGCATCGGAGCCAACCCAACCCAACGCAACCTCTCGTATAACCAACCTTGAGAACTTCGCGAACGTCCCAGCGGTCTGCTTCGGCAGCAAACGGTCGTTTCCGAAAGCACCCCTGGTGATGCAAGGCATGTCAAAATCTCAATCACATGAAATTACCAGTGGTTTTGTACGTTCAAGCACGGTTAACGCTAAATTACAATCGGTTGAGTGGAGTTACGAGGTATGATGTTTTTACAGCACCCTAATTCCCTTCCCCTCACTTTTCTGCCATCTTGACTGAGTATAGCTTCCCACATTTCCTTACACATAGCGACTCCACGTGTCTCCGCTGCTGCTTGTTGCCAGCTGAGTTAGTCTGACGAGATTCATGTTATTGACAAAAATCTTAGCTTAGTTCCGTTTGTAGGGTCGGGCGCCGTATCCATGGTTTGTGAACTGTTACCGCTATTAGCATAGATGGTACCTCGGAACGATTATGAGGAATGGTGTAGGAGTGCGAACACAGTTTTGCCAAATGAAACAGCAGCACCCGTATCTCCATTCTTTAATCCTCTCTACGTAGGATCGTCAACTGAAGCCGTTCCCATCCATTGGCGTCAAGAACCGTACTCCCAACCGGACTCCACCGCACGGTACCCGAATCCTTCACTTATTCCAGTCGTACGACCCTCCGCTGACGTCACCATGGTTTCAGGATCCCGACAGCGACTCCCGACTGCTGCAGTCCCGGCTGCTCGCAACGAGATGCCAGATGGGAACGATGGCGATGCTGCCAACGACAGGTCAGATAGGAGCGCTTGCAGCGACGTTAACATTGACGACCATGCGATTGCTACTGCTCTGCAGGAGGAGTATGCAGCAGCAGAAGCGAGATCTTCACTTGAGCAAGACCGTATTGTCCCTCCTGAGCCTGTTTCTAAAGATCACGCCATAGCAGCCGCGCTACAGGATAAGTACATTGCAGCAAAAACGAAGGAGAAGAGCAGAGGAGAGTCTGAATTTCAGGCGTCGTCCCAACCTGGAGCTCTTGCAGCAGACTCAGATGATCACGCCATAGCAGCAGCGCTACAGGAGGAGGAGGAGCACCTTGCAAAGGAAACGAAGGGGAAGAGCAAAGGAAAGTCTGCATCTCAGCCGTCGATCCAAACCAAATCTCTTGCAGCAGACTCAGACGATCACGCCATAGCAGCAGCGCTACAGGAGGAGTTTCTCAAGGAAGCCGAATCCGAAGCAGCAGGTTCGGGTGCCACAGGTTCGGGTTCGTGGTTGGGAGGCGCAGAGGATTGGCTCCGCGGGCTGTTCCCAACCCTACCTGGGCGCGGAGAAGGCGGGACAGGGAGACTGTCAAGGGGGGATGCACCTGGACATGGGAGGGCTGGCAAGGGCTTGTCCCCTGCTGCCCGGCGAAATTCGCCTGGGGCAGGAAATTCGCTGCAAGGAAGAGGGAATTCGCCAGCAAGGGGACTTTCGCCAGCAAAGGGGATTTCGCCAAAGGGGGTTTCGCCAGCGCGAGGATTTTCGCCAGCAAAGGGGTTTCAGGCAGGCAAAGGCCGGTCACCAGTTAGGGGAGTTTCACCCATGCGGTGGCTATCTCCCGTGGTGCGGGTACGGGAACCAGAGAGGCGGGATGCAGCCAGGGATCCCGCAGCACCAGCAGCAGCTGCCACAGCTGCAGCAGCAGGACCAGCAGCAGCAGCAGCAGCAGCTCCAGCAGCAGCAGCAGCAGTTGCAAAAGGACCAGCAGTGGCAGCAGTAGCAGCAGGGCAGGCAGCGGTGGCCCATTCGCTTGCTGAGCCAAATGTGTTATCCAGCCCCAGAGATCAATCAAGCCCGTTGATTGGCCCTCCTGAGAGTCAATCAAACCCGTCCATTGGCCTCCCTGCTATTGTTTCAAGCCCATCCTTCGGACCTCCTGAAAGTCAATCAAGCCCGTTCATTGCGCCCCTTCAGATTCAATCCGGACCGTCGATTCTCCCTCCTGAAAGTCAATCCAGCCCGTGGATTGGACCTGGCGCTGCCCCTGGACCCAATCCTCTCACCAGGTCGTTATCAGACCCCGCTGAAGTCACACTCGCGTACAGTCACATCCAGGCAGGGAACATCGCTTCTCCTGGTGGCTATGGGGCGGGGAACACGCTTACTGTGTCGCCCCAGGATGCTTTATGGGCGAACCCCTCGTTACAGTCAACCCCTATACAGTCACCCCGTGTTTCGTCTCCTGAGGGTATGTTGGACCCTCCTGGAGTTAGGCTAAAATCTCCTGGGGTTGTGTTAAAACCTCCTGAGGTTACCTGTGTTGATGATTCCGCAGGTGCTTCTCCTGCTGTATCAGGTTCACCAGACACTGCATTGCCTGCTCTTGCTCCGTCCCCTGATCTATTTGCTGCTTCCCCACCTGTGCCAAACCGAAGGCTGGTTCTGCAGATGGCAGAGAAGGGGAGGGAGAGGGAGCAGGGACAGGAGAGTGAGCGGGAGAGGGAGCAGGAAAGGAGCCTCCTGGACCCTGCTTTGTCCCCTGATCTATTTGCTGCTTCCCCACCTGTGCCGAACCGAAGGCTGGTGCTGCAGATGGCAGAGAGAGGGAGGGAGAGGGAGCAGGAGAAGGATAGGGAGAGGGAGAGGGAGCAGGAAATGGAGCAGGGGAGGGAGCAGGCGAGGGAGCAGGGACAGGAATGGATGAGCGGAAGGCAAGCAGATGCTGCAGCAGAGCAAGCGGATGGTTTTGACAACAATGATTATGATAATAATGATGCTAGTAAAGGGTACAAAGACAATGAAGGTGATGTGCGGACGGAACAACAGGAGGAGGAGCTGGATGGTGACTTGGCTTTGGCCATGGAACTGGCTTCAGAGGAACTCAGTAAGTCAGCATGTCATGATGTCAAGATGTCATGATGTCAACAACCTTTTCTGGCATATCTTAGAACTCTCAAGAGCCCCTTTGGCCATGGAACTGGCTTCAGAGGAACTCAGTGAGTCAGCATGTCAATGCCTTAAAGGCTTGTCTGTCTTTGGTCTTTGCAGCAACCTCCCTGCCCTTCCTTTCCCCTTCTTCCTCACCCTAAAGCTAGCTGTACGAACAATATTTCTGATTGCATGCATCGTTCCCCCCTTCCCCCTCCCCCTTCTCCCACCACCATCCCCCTTCTTAGAAATTACTTTATGAGTACGTTATTTTTAGTCCTCTCATGTATCAGCGCTTGAACAGTCGTTGCTCTCGTATGCATCCTTGCCCCCTTACCCCTCCCCCCTTCCCCCTCCCGCCGTCCCCCTCCCCCCTTCCCCCTCCCCCCATTCTCCCTCCCAACCTTCCCCTCATCCCCCTTCCTGAAAACCTCTTTATGAGTTCGCTTCTTCAGATGTCTCATGTATCAGCTGTTTGAACAGTTATTATTCCCACTTGTATGCATGATTACCCCCTTCCACCTCTTCCTCCCTCCCGGACACCTCTCTATCAAGTCCATGGTTCACCTGTGTGCGATCCTTCGTGGTGCTGTGCGGTGCTGTTTGCTGCTGTTTGGTGCTGTGCGGTGGTGTATGGTGCCGTGTCATGCTGTGTGGTGCGGTGTGGCGCCGGGTGATGCTGTGCGGTGCTGTGAGCAGGCAATGCTGGCTTGAGGAGCAATGAGCCTCCGACTGCAGGGCGGTCAATCACGAGGCTTTTCACCCGATCTAACTCCGTGCTGGTAGGTCACCCGATCTAACTCCGTGCTGGTAGGTCACCCGATCTAACTCCGTGCTGGTAGGTCACCCGATCTAACTCCGTGCTGGTAGGTCACCCGATCTAACTCCGTGCTGGTAGGTCACCCGATCTAACTCCGTGCTGGTAGGTCACCCGATCTAACTCCGTGCTGGTAGGTCACCCGATCTAACTCCGTGCTGGTAGGTCACCCGATCTAACTCCGTGCTGGTAGGTCACCCAATCTAACTCCGTGCTGGTAGGTCACCCGATCTAACTCCGTGCTGGTAGGTCACCCGATCTAACTCCGTGCTGGTAGGTCACCCGATCTAACTCCGTGCTGGTAGGTCACCCGATCTAACTCCGTGCTGGTAGGTCACCCGATCTAACTCCGTGCTGGTAGGTCACCCGATCTAACTCCGTGCTGGTAGGTCACCCGATCTAACTCCGTGCTGGTAGGTCACCCGATCTAACTCCGTGCTGGTAGGTCACCCGATCTAACTCCGTGCTGGTAGGTCACCCGATCTAACTCCGTGCTGGTAGGTCACCCGATCTAACTCCGTGCTGGTAGGTCACCCGATCTAACTCCGTGCTGGTAGGTCACCCGATCTAACTCCGTGCTGGTATGCATTTTTGAGGCGCCACAAAAATAAATCACGAGGCTTTTCACTCGGTCCAACTCCGTGCTGTGCTGGTACTTGTAATCCTCTGCTCTTTCGAGACGAGATGACTTTTGAGTCGACTGAAAAGGGCAGGTATTTACGAGGCTTTTCACCCGATCCAACTCCGTGCTGTGCTGGTACGTGTAATACAAGGCACAGTATTGCTGGCGGCGCTCCTCGTTCCTCGACAATTTTTGAGGCGCCTCAAAAAGACTTTTGAGTTTTGAGGCGCCTCAAAAGTAATACAAGGCACAGTATTGCTGGCGCTCCTCGTTCCTCGACAATCGCTCTCTGTAGCTTTTTCTCTACATGTGTAACGCCCTCCCAACCTCCCACCCCTCCCCACCCCCCGTTCTCCCTCCCCCATCCAGCACAGCATGCGTGTGAACAGCGGTCGACTGCCCTCCTTGCGAGAGAGCCTGTCAAGCCACCAGACTCTCACAGAGAGGTGAGCGAGAAGGGTTGAGTAGGGGAGGTTGGGAAGTTGTGTATGCGAAGATGGGAGGATGGGAGTATGAAGGATGGGGGAGATGGATATGCAGGGAGGGTTTGAGAGAACGCACACACCCATTGGCTCTTCGGTCCGTTGACTGTTTGAGAGAACGCACAAACCCGTGCCCTGGGTTTTCTGGGCTGCTGACCGTTTGCCTGTTTGCCACGCATTTCCTTCTCCTCTCAGCTTGGCAATAGATGGTCTCTATTCCACTCCCGGCTTGACCAACCATCTATTTGGTTTATGTACCTCTTACCCTTCTTTTCTTGGCTGCTTTTTTTGCTCGCTTTTGCAGCTTTTCTCTCACCATGTGCCTGTGATCCCTTCCCTTCTCCGTCTGTTGCTGCCCTTCTCCGTCTGTGCTTCCCTGCTCCGCCTGTTGCTGCCCTGCTCCGTCTGTTGCTTCCCTGCTCCGCCTGTTGCTGCCCTGCTCCGTCTGTTGCTGCCCTGCTCCGTCTGTTGCTGCCCTGCTCCGCCTGTTGCTGCCCTGCTCCGCCTGTTGCTGCCCTGCTCCGCCTGTTGCTGCCCTGCTCCGCCTGTTGCTGCCCTGCTCCGTCTGTTGCTTCCCTTCTCCGTCTGTTGCGGCCCTGCGCTGCGCCTATGCGTCTTCCCCCTGTTCTCCGTGGCCCTCCTTCCCATGCTCTTCCCTTTCCGCTGCTCCTGCCCTCGTCCCTCGTCCCCCCAGGCTTGCAGTCTATGGGCTGAGTTGAGGGAACTGCGATGATATTCTAACCACCTTCAGAATCATTGCTCTCATCCCTAAAAACCCTCTGCTCCTTCCTGCCCCCATCCCTTGTCCCCACGTCCCCCGTCCCTCGTCCCCCGTCCCCCGTCCCTCGTCCCCCCGTCCCTCGTCCCTCGTCCCCCCGTCCCCTGACCCTTGTCCCCCCGTCCCCTGTCCCTCGTCCCCTCCAGGCTTGCAGTCTATGGGCTGAGGGAGTTGCCAATGGTGGGAGATGGAAATTGCCAGGTAGCTTCTTCATCCTACTCTGCCTGATCTTCCGTACTAGGACCCTTCTCGCATCATGGTTGCGAGAATTCTTAAAAGCGACCCAGATGTAGCTTATGCCTCATGGACCACGGTTGCCTTTGTTGCAATCCCTTATCATCGGCACTGGTTCCACCCAAACCTCCTCTCTCTCTGCCGCTGCCTCATCCCCTCCCCTCCTGCCTGTCTCCTTTCTATCCCAGCTGTTCTTCCAGTTCCTGCTAGCCTCCCGACCTCTCTCCTCCTCCTGCTTCATCCTCCCCCCTCGCCTTGCCTCCTCCCCCCCACAGTTCCGTGCACTGGCGGATCAGCTGTTTTGCAATGCCGGCTACCCCTTCCAACATTTCCCCCATGCCTCTCCGCTCCCTCCCCCCCCAGTTCCGAGCTCTGGCAGACCAGCTGTTTCGCAATGCCAATCGCCATGCGGCCGTGCGACAAGCCGTGGTGCAGCAGGTGGGTGGGTAGGGGAGGAGGGCAGTATGGGTGCTAGAGTTGGGGGGGAGAGAGTGAAGCAGGTGCAAAAGGGTCTCTGAAGGCTGCTCTGCAATGCCAATCGCCATGCGGCTGTGCGACAAGCCGTGGTGCAGTAGGTGCGCGGGAAAAAGGTTCAGCGTGAAGTTGGGTGGGGGGAAGAGTGCAGCAGGTGGGTGGGGGGAAGAGTGCAGCAGGTGGGTGGGGGGAAGAGTGCAGCAGGTGGGTGGGGGGAAGAGTGCAGCAGGTGGGTGGGGGGAAGAGTGCAGTAGGTGGGTGGGGGGAAGAGTGCAGCAGGTGGGTGGGGGGAAGTGCGAGCCATGCATTTGCCACACAATCATGCCAAAACTATGCTGTTCTGGCACTCTGTTCTGAATGCTGCGTCTGTGACGATTATTTAGGCGCCTAAAAACTCGTCTCAGTTCACGCACGTTTGTCACACAATCATGCAAAAAAAATATGTTGTTCTGGCACTCTGATCTGAATGCTGTGTCTGTGTGTGCGTGCATGTGTGTCAGATGCGGGCGCATTCAGAGCGCTACTCGCCCTACGTGCCGGACAACTTCTCTCTGAAGCTCCCTGTTCAGAACTCTCAAAACTCCCAGCTTGCTCCCTCTCTCTGTGCATCTGCGCGTGTTTGTACGCATGCGTGTCAGATGCGGGCGCATTCAGAGTGCTACTCGCCCTATGTGCCGGACAGCTTTTCTCGCTACCTCAGACACATGGCCAGGTAAGAATTGAAGTGTGACAATTGTGAAAAAGCCTTTTCCGCTACCTCAGACACATGGCCAGGTAAGAATTGAAGTGTGACAATTGTGAAAAAGCCTTTCCCGCTACCTCAGACACATGGCCAGGTAAAGATTTCTACACGGTTATTGAGTCTGATTGAACAGTGTTGGGACGTTACAAAACCCCATTCAGAGCGCTACTCACCTTATGTGCTTGACAGCTACTCTCGCTACCTCAGACACGCATCCAGGTGAGTATCTTTTCCTGGTGCGTAACAGCAACTCATAGAGATACATCATTCTACATGGCTAGGTAAACAGCTCTGCATGGTACTGACCGAATAGCAAAGAAAGCCACTGAATGGCACCGAATGATCCTAATGACTCTAAAAAGTGGTAAAAAGCTCTGAATAGTGTGATAAATGGCCACTGATTTGTGCAGAGGAATAAGTATCTTGGATACCTGCGGGGATATGAAAGTTGATTTTTTTGGCGACCTCTGCTCATTTTTCCTTGTTGCTGCTCTCAGGAATGGCGAGTGGGGCGATCACATCACTCTGCAGGCTGCTGCAGACAAGGTGCGGTGCGGTGGGATGCAATGAGGTGAGGTGAGGTGCAGTGAAGTGAGGTGAGGTGCGGTGGAGTGAGGTGAGGTGCTCATGTCACATGCTCATTGTCATCGTATGCCATCATATCCTTTGGCCCATGAGCCATGCCCATTCTCCCTTTCATTTGTAACCCTCCCACCAGTACAAAGCCAATATCAATCGCATCATGTCCCATCCAGGAGACAAGTCCCCCATCGTTCTCCACTCGTATCCAGGAGAAAATTGTTGAGTTTGACTCATATGCTGCCCTGCACCATGCACCGTGCACTATGCTCCATGCTCCCTGCCCTTCCTCTCCTTCCCTCCCCATCAGTATGGAGCTAAGATCAACCTCATCACGTCCTATCCAGGAGACCAGTTTCTAATAGAGATCTTCCCATGCCAAGGCAAACCCACTAGAGGTATGTTCAGAGGAAAATCAATCAGTCGGTTCAGAGGCCATCGAGATTAACCTCATTGCGTCCTATCCTGGAGACAAGTCTCGAATAGAGATATTCCCATGTCAAGGCAAACCCACCGAAGTTGAGTCCTCCTGAAGTGATTTCGAGTCAAACCATAAATTACCATGTCAAGACAAGCCTATCAAAGTTGTGACTCTGGCAAACGGCTTTGGTAGTTTGGTAAGTCCTGGAGTGATTTTGGAGTCAAAAGATAAACTACCAAAGCCGTTTGCCAGAGTCACAACTTTCATTTCTTCAGCTCCTCTTCTGCATGCGCTCAAACCGCTTTGCACCCATCTGCATTCTTGTGTCGCTTTCCCTGCTTGTGTGTCAGAGCTATGGCTCAGCTTCTGGGCGGAAGTACACTACAACTCCGTCTACAGTGCTGAAAGTAAGAGCCAATATAGTTTGGTTTACAATGGCGAAAGTATGTGTGCCTTGCCTGCATTGCCACCTGGGGCCGTTTGAAGTGCGGAGAAACTGGTGTGACAAGGTGCGTTGCAATTTTGTCTACAGTGCCGAAAGCAATGGACGAGCATTCCCACTGTGCTTCATGTGGACTGCCCACTCTAAGCACCATTCCCGCATAGTGAAGCTAATGTAGTGATTGTATTTCAAATCCCTTTCTTTTACTGTCATTACGTGGTGTTCTTCTCTGCTGTTTGCAGGCCTTCCTCCACCTCAGCCGAAAAAGAAGCACTGGCTGTTCGCTTGATGTTTAGAGTTCTGGAGCTTTTTCCCAAAGTTTCATAAGGTTCTTTTGCTGAATGCCAAATGTATATATCCTTGTGTTGTGGATTTTGGACAGAAGGGCGGCAGGCAGACAGTTTATTCTTTTATTTTCTTTCTTTTTTTCAGGTATGGTAGGCTGTTTGTGTTGCATAATGTATCCCAAGGGTTACCCCCCCTCAACCTTTTTGCGGGCCAGCATCAGGCCTGGAGAGTGTTCCCTACCTGCAGCCCAGCACCAGGGTTGGAAGGGGTTCACTGCAGCCCAGCACCAGGCTCGGTAAGGGTTTCCTGCAGCCCAGCACCAGGCTCGGTAAGGGTTTCCTGCAGCCCAGCACCGGGCTTGGAAGGGGAGAAGCTGGGTACCGCAGCAGACTATGTAACGTGGGACCAACAGCTTTTACAGTGGGTCTGCCTTTACAGTATGTGGGAACAACAGCATTTACCAATGTAGCTGGGAGGGCTGGCCAACAAAACCCGGAGGTCGCACACCTACAGGTACAGCGATTTGTGAAGCGAGACTAGATACCAAAACGCGCGTTCAGCAGGATTCGAACCTGCGCGGGCAAAGCCCAACAGATTTCGAGTCTGTCCCGTTAACCACTCCGGCATGAACGCACGCTAAGCTAATCAAACTTTATTATTATGGAACTTAAACAACGGATAGCGAATGCTCAGACCGTTCACACAATTTACTGAACACCTCTTTCATGGCTTGCTGGTTCTGGTTTTTGGATTTTTTTTATCAATCACTAATCCAGTTTGGTCGATAAGAGAAGACATGACAAGTCCAAAGCCGCCATGGCGGTTTCCAGGAAGTTCTATCGAGCCAATGTCCTACAATTTCTTACCAGTTGGGAATTTAAAGCCTAGATTCGTACTTCTTATGACTTCAGGATTCCGTGCGTACACTTTATATGTTCATACAGAGGACATTGTACAAACGATCTTATTGTCAGGCACTTTCAAGGCTTATCCTGACAATGAGGACTCTAGGCCTCGTGACGCTCCCAAGGCCAATGGGGTCTGTATTCTGAAAAACTATCATCCTGCTGAAGCTTTCAAGGCTATCATCATCCACAAATATAGGCGTAAAAAGACGAGAAGACACAAGTCATCACAGGAGCTTCTGGGGCTCAGTTCTTTTTCAGTCTCCTCTTGCAGACCTTCCTTCGTTTTTTCATCATCACCCCATGGCTCCCATTCGCGACGTGTCGACTCCGTCTGCTCCTGGTGCTGCTGGTGTGCAAGGGAAGAAGCTGTCGGATGCACGTCTAGATCCGGTGACTCCTAAGACGCTTTTCAACTGTGTGGCCGGCTCTTTCGGCGCTGAGATGGTTAACAAGCTGGCGGAGCGTACGTCGGCCCTCAAGCTGGATGATCTGCCGGCGGGAGGGAAAGAAAGTGACATGGTTAAGCCGACTGCTGCTGGAAGCTCGTCGTCGTCGCCTGATGTGCTTGACAAAGGCAAAGCAAAGGCAGAGTTTAAGGACAATGAGGACGGTTACCTCTGTGATGATCTGGACAAGTGTCAAGACCCGGATGTGCTCAACGAAATCGCTGCACAGGCGGGATTCGCCATTACCCTGCTGATCCCGTTTGCATGGAACAAGGAGGTTCCCCGCACCATCAATACGGTCCGACATCTCCTGCTGGTGTGGGGGAAGCACTTGTCAGAGAACGTCAGGACCACGTCTGGTTCCCAGCAACTATCGGCTACTTACCTGTCCAAGAAACATTTTGGTCTGATGCAGGTGGTCTTTCAGCAGGAGGCTGATGCGAGTTTTGTATGGAGCCGGGAAGTGGAACATTACACGATGAATGACAAGAAGCTTACGCTTGGCTAGCAGCACCCGGAAAATGCTGGTTACCTGAAGAAGCGCGCGCTGCATCCAGAGGCGATTGAGGTGCTGCTTAGGGATGTCACGGCGGTGATCTCTCTCGGAGATGATCCGGAAGAATCTGGTGACTGCGATGCTGATGAAGCAGGGCCGTACGGCTTTCCGTAACAGCTCGTCGTTTCATAGGGTCCTGGATCCCGTCTCGGGGTCAGACACTGATAAGATCAAAGGCCTGGTCTACATTCACCCGGGGGATAAGTATAAATGGTGGCACCGCGTTACCGACAAGATTCATGGCATTGATCTCCTTGTGTATTTTCCCGCTCTCACGTGCGATTTTTGCAACGGCATTCATATGACCTCTTTTCATGATAAGTTTGTCAAGGAGAGGCAGAATAACATTGGCAACTGGGGTTTGTCGCTGCTGCGTGCTCATGAGATCAACGGTAAAGATCTACGCGCTTACCTTGTTTTTCAGGTGGTCGCGCAACAGACCCCCAAGCTGACTTCTGTGTCGCCTCCCCCCCCAAGCAACTGCTTCTCTGAAGCTGTCAGCGGCGGCAAAGATCATCATGGCAAACCCGGCAATCTCCCAGTCTTCGGTGGGAGGGGTCCGGGAGGAATGGGTCTGCGTGCAAGAGGAGTGCGGGAAGGCTCACGGGAACAATTTCGAATAGGTGGTGGAGTATGCTCAGTCACAGTGCCACTGCAATGGTCTGCTCAAGGCGGGTGCTGCTACCCAGCAGAGCAGGGGAAAGCAGAACCTGGCAGATGTCCGGAAGGAGTATGGGAAGTAGTTTTGCCACAATGCAGCATGGATCTGTGTTGGACATCGGTGAGGGACACAAGTTCTCGGAGCAAGGAGAAGTTAGTCTCAGCTGGATGTGCCATGTGTATCACCTTGTGTAATGAAGCCTGTGGGTGCGCGGGGCTCTCAGAAGAGTGGATTAATGGGTAACACAACCAACCTTACAATCTGCGGGGTCAACGTGAACGACCTCGGAAGCAACGCAAAAAGAAGCAAGCATCGGTAGTGGATGTGCAAGGCAGGGGACATAGTAGTTTTGTCAGACACACGGATCAAGGAAGATCATAATTTTTGGAGTGAGCTGAAACCAAAAGTGTGGGCTGCTGCGAACCCCCAAAAGCGGCTAGGGGGGTGGCAATTCTCGCCTTTGCAAAACGCATTACCGTATGGCCCCGGATAGAAGCGCAGGCCTATGTTAAGCGCATGCGCTTGTATCTGGAGCAATGCGCTTATGGCCGATCCTCAATTATAAGCGCACCCCTTTGGAATTCTTGACTTATTATAAGCGCACTCGTTTAGTTAAAAAAAAAAAAGAATTTCATTTTTTTTAACCTACCTAGCCTACATGTTCTAAACTTTCCATTAAGAATGACTATCACATACAAGGGTGGTCTCTGCTGTCCTGCACTACACCTTTCAACCTGCCTAGTCTACCCTACTGCCTTTTCTTCCTCCTCGTCCGACTCAGGCTCCGTGGAGTTGTTGCCCCAGAACCCATCTGCCTGGATGTCGTCGTCCACCTCCACCTCATGGGACAACTGGCACCTTCGGTGCGCTAGCACCAGTTTGTCTTCGCTCCCATCAAGGGCGTTGCTGATGCCGCAAGTGAGGAAGGCTTTCTTGATGAGGTCGGCGGGCACCGCCTTCCAGGCCCGTGAAATCCACTTGAGCACCACCTCCGGAGGTGGTTTCTTGATGTTCCCTGCATCACACGGAGTGGGGCGGGGAAAACATGAGACAAGTAAACATGCATTCAAGCTCAAGATTTGCAGACGGGAGCACATGCCGTCACTCACCTGCCGGGGTCAGGATGTTCATGCCGTCCTCCTCAAACCAATTTTGGTACTGCTGACGAATGCTTGCTTTGAAGCTTTTGTTGATCGACACATCGAGGGGCTGCAGGTCTGCCGTGCAACCCGCCGGAATGATAGCAGGCACGATGTTGAGCGCCGCGAATCTCGCCTTGACTTCTGGTGTCAGGTGACCGCGATACGAGTCGAGCACCAGCATGGCGCTACGACTCTGCAGGCCGAATTTCGGCTTCAGGAACGGCACCACGCCCGTGTTGAGCCACTCGATGACGCCTGCGGCCTCCATCCACCCGTTGGCTTGGCAGCCGACCACAACATCTGCACGCAACGAAAAAGAACAGTTAACGACTCAGGTAGTAACGGGAATAAACACGGTGGACGATCACTTACCGTTCGGGAAGTCACCCTTGGGGAGTGTCTTGCGCTTGAAAAACACCCACGGCTTCAGCTTCTCGCCCGTCGCCGTGCACGCAAGCATGACGGTCACTCTCTCCTTCTGGTACCCACCGCTGCGAATGGGCACCGACCTCACGCCCGTCTGCTCCACGGTGGTCGTCGCCGGCATCTCTAACCACAGCGGTGTCTGGTCGGCGTTGATGATGTAGCGGTTGTCAATGTCGTATTCGTGACGGGCGTCACGTACGTACTGCCAAAAATCATTGCACTGCTCAGCCACGTCTGCAGAACAGGGAGAAAGGTACATACAGTAAACCAAATTAGTATGACGCATAGGAGACATGCGAAAAAAACTAAGCGCAATCGGGTACCCACCAAAATCAGCAGTAAACGACCCACTTACGCTCCTGTGTTTTCTGTGCCACCTTTGTTTTCATGCGCACGCTGAGGTTCCACCGCCTGCGGAACCGCTCCGTCCACCGCTGACTGGCTTTCCACTTGACGTCCGGGTATAGAACCTTCATCACTTCTTTGGACCACTCTTGCAGCCGGCCGACCGAAACCGCAACTCCGCGGCGTCGCCAGTCGAGGAGTTGCGCGTACACCTTTAACTCCATGGGGCGGTACCAAGACGACCTCCCGCGCCCGTGAAGTCGCATCCGTGCTCCGTGTGCAGCCTTGAGCGCATCCGCTTGGGCTTTCCATTCTGTCAGACATTTTCGGTGAATGCCTGACTCCCGCGCCACTTCGCTCACCGAAGCCGCAAGCTCGAGCCGCACGAGCCACCTCAACTTCTCCTGGGCGGTGTAGGACTGCCGCTTATGTTGATTCAGCTTGTGCCTGGGGGAGGGGGGGCGGGCATCTCGATTCTCGGTAGACGGGTGGGGGCGTTTTTTATTAAGGGGCGGATATGTCGGTACCGGCATCTTCGCGCGTGGTGCGTCGCGCCACCAGGACTCCACACCGTCCTCGTCCTCGTCACGGTCGGGGAACACGTCTTCCTCGTCGCCCGCTGCACCGTCGCCACCAGCTTCACCGTCGCCTCCAGCTTCGCCGGCGCCGCTGTCATGTTTATCGGTAGCCACATCATCGTCGGCGCCCACAGCCGACTCATCCCACGCGCAGGATTCTGGTTGTCCCCACCGTGGTGCAGTCGCTGGAGCTTGGATGCGTGCATCGCGGGCCTTCGGTGTGTCCGCTTCAGCCAACCATTCGTCGAACGTGGCTGGTAAATACAGTTGGAGCACGGGCCGTTGGTGAGCACCTGCCGTGGCAAAAGCAGGCGGATTCGGAGGAGCGGGAGGTGCGGGAGGAGCGGGTGGAGCAGGGGGTGCAGGGGGAGCAGGAGGAGCAGGGGGTGCAGGGGGATCCGGTGGCACTGGAGGCGCTGGTGGCTCACGGGTATACCACCCGTCTTCGGTAAGTCGCCATGTGCGGCGTGGCTTTTTCTTGAAGAGGATGCTCGTCCCACTAAATTCCGCCATGGCTTCGCCTGCCAGGCGGGGTTGACAAGGAACTGAATGAAAAAATCAGAGAAGAGGGTGAAGAAATGGGCAACGACGGTGACCCCTGCTGTGTGACGGCTCGGGTTCCTCGTCGATGACAGGCAGGAAACCCCCGCCCACTCCCGTAGAGGCGCCTGCGTGGCAGCATCTACGCTGCGCTGGCAGAGAATCTTGCCGAACCTTCGAGATGGTTCTGCCCGAATGCACATGCCTCGCAGCGCATGCGGCTCTGATTGGGCCGCACGACAACATCATCGTCACGGCTGTCACATTCTATGTTTCCAGACAACATTGTGCGGTGGTAAACCGAACCGCTGCGGTTTCTGCCTGAAAACCATGCACGATCCCACTTGGTGCATGGTCGGTTGAATTCGCCTTATTGAGAGCTTCACAATGGTGTGTTCAAAATTGATTTTCATTTTTCCCTTTATACAAGCGCATGCGCTTATAAATCTGACTCAATTATAAGCGCACCCCCCCAAAAAACAATGTTTTATTATAAGCGCAGGTGCGCTTCTATCCGGGGTATTACGGTAGTTTCTTGGATGTCTTGGCGGGCTCATCTGGGAGGCTGTTATGGGTGACGGTGGAAGGGGGGGATGTGGCTTTCATGCTGATAGCGGCGTACCTCCCGGCGCATTCGTGTAATAGGGTGAAGTTTCACACCGAGCACCTGACTCCATTCGTACAGGCGCAACCATCAGCAGCGCACCTGGTGGTGGTGGGGGATCTGAATATTATCGCCAACCCGGATCTGGACAAGTCGTCAGGAATAGGGTATGGGAAGGAGAATCAGAGGTTCATCAGCTTGTGGCCGTCGCATGATCTCCGAGATGCTTTCAGAGCGTTGCACCCCACAGAGAAGGAGTACACTTTCCGGGTAAAGGCGACGCAGGCGAAGTCCCGCATAGACAAAGCCTTGATTTCGACATTGTTGCTCGGTAATCTGCTGGAGGCAGGCCACGCGGAGGTCCCAAAGAAGCTGACGGATCACTGGTTTGCGATCCGCCTGTCCCTACGCATCGTCTCGTCGCAAGAGTACGGCCCAGGCCTCTGGAGGTTTCAGGCAACACGGAAGGATAAAAAAGGGTGCGGAAAGTGATTGAGAAGGTGACTAAGGCACTAGTCAAGGATGGTGGTCACCCGTTGGAGCAGGTGATCTCGCGGCTAACGGCAGGGTTGAGAGCGCACGAGAGAGAGGAGCGAAAACGGGTGGTGATGACGCAACGACATCTGACTGAAGAAGTGGAAAAGCTGAGACATCTGGTAATGGGAGGGCCAACGGATGAAGCGATCTAGAGAGCACTGTTAGCCAAGGAGGAGCAGCTGGAGTCTTACCATAAAAGCGACAGGGAGAGATTGGAGGTTTTCGCGGGTCTCAAAGCTGAGCTACAAGGGTAGGTTCCGTCATCTTACTTGTCGGCCAAGGTGAAGATGAGAAAGGAGCGAAGAATCATCATCGAGGTGGTTTACAAAGGGCAGCGTTTCAAAGGTTTGAAGGAGGTGCTCAAGGCGGCGTCAGCACATTTCGCCGAAGCTTTCAGCGAAGCCAGTGACGCGGCGGAGCTGGGGAGGCCTTTCACGGTGGACAGAACATTACCGGAGGAAGCAGTGAGGAGGCTCATAGCCCCGTGGACGGAGCCGGAGGTGAAATCGGCTATGGCGGGGTTGCCAAGGGGGAAATTTCCAGGGCAGGACGGTCTCCCGGCAGAGTTGTTCGTGGCACATTGGGACCTGCTGGGGGGTGTCTTCATGGATTTCGTCAGTGGTTTTGAAAAGACAGGAAGGCTGCCGGAGTCGGTCACGACGGCGGTTACTGTTCTGCTACACAAAAAAAGGGAGATGGATCAGCTGACAAACTACCATCCTATCACACTACTGAACATGGTGTACAAGGTGCTTGAGAAGGTCATGGCGAAAAGATTTAAAAAGGAACTTCACCAGATAAATTCGCCGGAGCAGCACGGTTACATCTCAAGACGGAGCCTGGCGGACGCGGTTGCGGATGTAGCAGATGCGATTGAGGCAGCGGATAACGATGGCGAGGATTGCGATTG